GTTCGGGATAGACTTTGATCATAATATTTTTGGAAGCTTTACATCATTGTGCAGTATAGAAGCAAAAATTTATATAAGAATATGTGTGTTTTTTCTTTTTTAAAATATAAAATATTATTATAGGTCCAAAGTAAGTTAAGTAAGTTATATTAGATACTTGTATATTAGAATTCTAAGAGGATTTTATAAAGGACAATAATAAATTAATATGTTAATTCTGTCATTATAGTATTGATTATAATATTTGATTAACTATAATTTCATATATTAAATCAAACAATCATCAAAGAAATAAAACTGTAGCAGAACAGTTAGCTCAAATACAACAAATTATTTTAACAGTTTTACAAGCTTCAAAATTAAAAAAGAATAATATAATCTTACTTGTAAAAGCTTTTGTTGAAGCAAGTATCTCTTTTAAAAAAATTGACAAGCTTTATAATCAGATTAAAGAAAATTTTTATAAAGGTGGCACAGTACTATCTGCAAATAACTTATGTCAAAATTATTTATCAGAGGTTTATAAAACAACTATCATATAGCTTAATCTATTTTTTGAAAATAAAAAAATATTATTTATCATTGACGAACTACAGATTTTTGTGCTTGAAGTATTGTAAATATTCTTTTTTTATATTATAGCACTACAAAATTAGTTGAAATAGATTTTTTAAAATTAGTTAACAATACTATAATTGGACAATTAATTATACAAACTTTTGTTCAATAATTAATTCTATTTAAATATCCATATTTAATAATTTTTAATTTTGCTATATATATAAAAAACTGCTATAATACTGTTCTTAAATTAGTTATACCTCAATTAAAATATAATCTATATTTGGTATATATATTAAAATTAATAGAGTATATTTAATTATTTATATTTATTTAATAATATATATAATTATAATTTTTTTTTAGAGAAGCTTGAGTTTTGGTCAATCAATTTGATATTGTTAAAAATTTTTTAGTAATATAAAGCAAACAATTGCATATTCAAAAGTATATTATAGTTGTTATATTTAGTACTTTTAATATTGTGAAGTTATTTTATTTAAAAAAATTCTTCTGCTATATAAAACCCAATAGAATACTTAATTTTATATAGCTTTTTATATTAATGAATATTTAGAATATATTCATATATTTTACCAGAAAGAAGTTGACAAAAATTCTCTGCAATTATAAAAAAGATTGCAAAAATATTTGTAAATCTGCAAATTAACAGATTTTTTTAAATTTTTTATTTTTTATTACTAATTATATATAAATATTTTTTTTAGAATTTTATTTTT